TCGGCTTTCTGTTTTTCTCTGTCACTCCACGAGAAAAAAAATAATCTGTGCTGTTACCATGGCAACTGCATCTGTGAGCTGAGCCAGTACTCTTCCATAGACATGCGCTCTCCCCCCATACTAAGATTTAAGCTTACCTCTGATGAGAAAGATGCAGGAGGAATGAAGAGAAGAGGCTGCGCTTGTTAGCGTTTCATAAACCCTCCGAGGGAGACATTGTGCTTTTCTCTGTGATGAACCGTTGTTACCGATGGCAGATATCAAAGACAGACATTATCAGTGAACTGCACACAGTGTACAACAAAGGAAACACGCTGCACTGTACGGTGCTTTCTTCTCCTCTGCAGAGTTCTCGCTCGCTAGTTTTACAGAGGTAATTGTGGGTAATGGTGTGATACAGGAAATTAATGCATTTAAAGAGCTCCACTGAAATCAATCTATATTAATTTGGCAACTAATCTGATGTCTAAATTAAAGGGTTTTCCACAAACTAAATTAGGATTACGTGATTTGCATTTTTAAAGAGGTCCAAGTATGCTTTTTCCCTGTAATGTGTTATATAGATTTTAGTGCATGTAAATGGTCTGCAAAGGCTCAAATCCCTGTGTTCCCTCCAAAGTGAGTTTCTCTCCAACACACTTCCCCCCCCCCTGCCTGAAACTCCTCCATTAGATTCCTTTGATTTCTTCTGTAACGTAGTGACATCACTTTGTAACACTCGCGCTTCTTTTGGTTATCGCTCAAACACATTGGACATGATGTGATGAAGGGGCGGGACATCTCTAAGCGGTTAACCAATCACAATAGAGCCGGCCAGCTAACCAATCAGAGCAGACTGGGCTCTGGTTTCAGACAGAGGGTGAAAAGAGGTGCAGCAGCACAGGCAGTATGAGACAAATAAAGAGCTTTTTGAACATTAAAGCATGGAGACATGTCCCAGTAGAGGAACATACAACACATATGAACCTGAAAATGAGCAGAATAGGGCCCCTTTAATGTTATGTCCTCATTGGGCTTTTACAATTTTGGCTGACATATCGTACACAACGTTTTTGACCACTTCAACACAACAGCAAATATTGATTTGGCTGGTCAGGAAACTGGTCATGTTTAGCTGTGTGCTCGTTAATGTGTTGAGAACAGAAGTGAAAGATGTCCACAGTGGGGAGCAGAGATTGGCGAGATGGGCTGTTTTCAGATTAGTTGTTGCTGTGAACACAGCACAGGAGACTGGAGTATTCTCACAGACAGCTGTAGATGGATGCATTGTGTCATGAAGCCCAGATGGATGTTAAGTGAAGGAGGACGTCAGCGCCTGGTCCACTTGGTCCGGATGAGAAAGTGCGCACCTGTATTGCACACTGAGAAGACGCTTGTTATTTTCAGCTTGAATAGATCTGACTAGGAGTCGAATGCGATAACAGTGAGACAGCGGCTTTTCGCCATCTGAACACCACACATGATGGAGTTTTTCCCTTCCAATCAGGAAGTGCATTTGGCATTCGCATCTGTAGGGGTTTCTATAACTCTGAGTCAGGAATAGCTAAAAAGAGTCCTGGAAGCTTCTCTTCAAGTTAACGTTTTTAATACAATGATACAATAAGTTTGCAAAAGTACTCGGCCAAGGTCTTCCTTCCAATTGCATATTCACATATTATCATCTAAAGTCTTCTCCCATTGGCTGAAGTCGACGGGGGCGGGTCCACGACACGTCTTGCCTTATTGTCATTTCCTGTCGTCTTCTGCTGTCTAATTTTACAATTCTTCAAATATCTGTTCGTCATTTAAACTTTCCATAATAATAGTATTGCAGCGTTGATGAGTGAGAGTTGAAGACAGTGTGTTTAGTATGTCACTCCACGTGTCATTCTCCTTATATTCACATTCACGATATACTATTAGCTACATGCTAATGGCTAACAACAACATCCGGTTCCGGAGGTCCATGGTGTCCCCTATATTCAGTCCGTGGGAAAACACAGTATATAATGTTATTTAAAATTCCAGTAAAATATATTGTTTTATTCCTTACACATCCATGATTCAGCCAGTGGAATAACATTGATTCAGCTACTTCTAGTCCAGTGCCTGAGAGAGAAGATGAGTATGCATACCACTCCACGCCTCACTGTTCTCCCCAAGGAGAGGAATTCATTTCTGTCAAATCTCTGTGATTGTAAGTAATGGTAAAGTTGTGATAGATTAGAACAGGAGGCGGAGGAGGGAGGAGGGAGGGTTTCACACTCCTTTAACCATGAGCAAAATGTCAAGACCTCCCCTGATTGGTTGCCAGAGGGGGTTTGTCTCTCCTCTGAACCAGTGTGAACCGGATAAGTTCCCACATCAATCGCCAGAAACTATCCCCTTTAACCCCCCCAAGCACAATGTTGATGTGATTTGCTGCTTGCGGGGCAGAGAGACCTCTCGGGTCAAACCGAGACTGGATTAAATACAAAGTCCTGGAGTAATGTCCGGGGAATTCTATTATACACAGCAGGCATTGTTTCTTTATGCTGTGTTGAGAGGATACCACTGAGGACATGTTCTCATATAATGGGCCTCATCTTCATTTAATAAAAGGTCACAAAGAACATGTTCCAGGGTCATAAGCTTTCTTTTAGATCTGCTGGGGAATAGGAACGCAGATGTTTAATAAAACACTGGTCTTACCGATAACACTGAACATTGTAAAAGAAAATATATTTGTCAATGATGCTCGATGTCTTATAGAGTACAAACTTACATTATTTTATTCCAATTATTACCAAATCTGCACTTTAGGTTTTCACTTGCCTATCGATAAATTGTCCACTATGGTTTTGTTGATTAAAGAAGACATATTATGCACATGTTCAGGTTCATATCAGTATGTAGTGTCTCTACTGTGACATGTCTCAATGCTTTAATGTTCAAAAAGTTCTTTATTTTTCTCATACTGCCTGTGCTGCAGCTCCTCTGTTCACCCTCTGTCTGAAACCAGAGCCCACTCTGCTCTGATTGGTTAGCTGGCAGACACTGTTGTGATTGATCAACCGCTTTGAGATGTCCCGCCCCTTAGCCTATGAGGTACAATATGTTGGAGTGCTTATAACACTACATGAAAGGTAGCATAATAGGGCCCCTTTAAAGGTCCCATGTCATGCTTTTCTGGTTATTACCCGGCCCCTTGTGTGTTACGAAGGTTTTTATGCATGTAAACGTCAAAACCCTCAAAGTACACCCTGTAGCGAGTAGAACTCTAACACAGAAAATACCTCCCAAAACGCCTCGTTGGAGATACGTCACTGTCCATTGATTCTTCCGGGTAACTCATGATGTCATGCGTTACCCGGAACCAAATGGACCAATCCGTGGAGCCGTTACGTTACGTCCACGGAGCCGTTACGTTAAGCCCCCGCTGATTGGTCCAAATTGACCAATCCACGGACTTCCTCACACACACACTCAGTGCAGGCAGCTCTGCTGATCTCTCCTCCCTGGCTGCAGGCTGATAACAGACAGTTGGGATCAATTCTCTCTGCAGACCCATTCTCACAGCGTTTATCAACCTTTTTCTTACTCAATATCAAGCCACACTTATTGTTTTTACTTCGGCTGTGACTTTGTGTGTGCTCTGGGTGAGTTTGGCTGTGTTTCGCTGTGTATCGCTAAACAAGGAAACAACACCTCCACGGAGCTCAGCGCGATTCACAACGTCCCGACCAATCAGAGCACACTGTGCTCACAGGGAGGGTGGGGGCTGGAGCTACAACGAGCCGTTAAAGGCAGAGAGTGAAATTCAGTGAATAGACGTAGTTTACAGAGGTGCTGTATGAGAAACCATAGTGAGTTTGGAAAATTGCACAATATAAATCTATTCTAGTAGACCACCTCAACAATGGAATTATGATCAGTGGAAATGGCCATGACATGGGAACTTTAACACATTGTATTGGGAATATTACAGTATGACCAGGTGTGAAGGTCTATGAAGTATTTGTCGGGACCAAAGAATGAAGATTTCTCCTCACTATTCCAGTGGTGTCAATGTGAACAAATCCTTAATATCATTCCGGTGAGCCTCTATGAGACGTGCTCACAGTGCACACCTCTCTAAACCAAGAAAACTTGCTGCCCACTACTTTAGCAGTTGTTATTATTCAGTCCACCCACACCATGCAACTAAAGGCAATGCATTCCAACTGATTTCCAGGATAATAAAGACATTGACAAAGTGATGTAGAAGTTGAGGAGGTGAAGCTGTAGGAAACTGGATTACCATTAAGAAAAAAAAGCACTTGAGTAATGTTGATGCATAACAAATCTACATAACTCAAACAAAGTGCCTGTTTACAATATAAAATGTTACTGTGCAAAGCTGATTAGTACGAACGCTTGTATATGTTTTTATTGGACAAATCAAATGCAACACTTTGACGTGACCCTGCATATTACTTTAACTTATCTTCAATTTAGTTACATCCTCCATGAAGCAATACAGACTGCAGAATTACAAGCATTCATACCCACTCAGAGATGATAATACCCTTATCTGATTTTAAGGTTGCGACTAAAGGAACAGTTTGAAGCCATGGCCATCGTGATTAGTGCTCACGGTCTTATTCGCTAATTCATTTTTTTGGTTATCACCGCCTTAGTGCTGGAGTTTGTCTTGCTTAAATAGATGATGATTATCTGGCTCAGTGAGGGATTCTATAATTAAAGGAAATGTCCTTGAAGGCAAGGTGAACTAAGTCTGTGGAAATAGTGTTGTATCAAGAAGATACAGCTTTTCAGAATGTGTAATGAATGTGGGTTTCTGGTGCCAGCACTGCCATTATTTGAGGCTGAATGCAATTTGGGTATTGCATTTTCACAGTCTCAAGAGCTCCCGCTGTCATCGCAGCTCATTTGAGGCGGGAAGAAAGCATGCGTTAAAGATTTGGACATGGCATTTTGAAGAGAGGCTCTGCAGTTGAGACCCTATTTTAACATATTTGTTGTCTTCTTGTCTTTCTCAGGTTGGTGTTACTTCTCTGAAGAGACGAGGCAAGAGGCAAGAGTCGGAGGCGAAGTGATCGAGATACGAGTCCTCCCAGACAGCAGGGGGCAGCAGCGAGCATGCAGGAATCAGCCTCAGACAGCAAGATGGCCAAACAGGTCAGAATGAAATAAATTACATTACTTCCTAGAATTTCTTGATATTGCCAACACTTTGTTCTGGTCTGAAGCAGTCTTCAAGTCCCTATTCAAAGATAACATGACAAGTATCTGTTTTGTCCCATTATTCAGTGGTTGCCTATCAATGTATTTTCCATTAGGTCTACAATATGCTGAAAAAGCACACTGGCAAAAAAAGCCATTAACTAATAAAGTCACGATACAGATTCTACACCAATGACTTTCTCATAGGCCATTACAATCATATAACTAAATCTTATACTGATAAATATACACCTTCCAGTTACAACTCATGTGTCAGTCAGATAAAATGAATAACTGTGTCATTCGACTATCCGTTTTATACATTTATGCTTAGGACCAGAACTCCAAGTATCTTGATGAAAACAGAGAAACAGACGAGATGTCGGAGAAAACGTCGCCAAACAAGAACCTCAAATCTCCCCAGAAAGGCTCCAAGCGACTCAAAACCGCCCCCTTCAAAATCACCCTGCTGGACACATCGGTGTTCGAAGGCGAAATTGAGGTATGGACAGTGGAAAACACGTTATTTTTTACAATTAGTCTTAACAAGCTTTGAACAAAGAAAGAGAAATATGCTTCTTTTCCTTTGCAGTTTTGGCCTTTGTGGGCAGTTGTGTGTTTTATAGTGCTGCTCTGAGCGGATATCAAACACAAAGAGAATACAGTAAAAGGGTGCCATGCTGAGAGATCACCAGGGGGCCGATCCAAAGCAATGTTACACATTTTCAGAAATACAAAAATAGTTCAACGTGAACGTTTCCCTTCTAAGCCAGATCTCTGTTGGCATTACTCAAGCAAAGGGATAAGGACATTTACGGCTCGCTTGCAAAGGGAACTGAAGGCATGCATAAGAAAGGAGAGGAGAGAAAGATGTAAGTGCATAGCCTTAAGATAAATGCACCGAAAGAAGCCGGAGATTTTCCGTCTCGCAGCGGCACACTTCTGATAGAATCGGTCTTTCTCTCCTTTTGAAATGTACTTTAGAGGATTGTGATGGCAGGAATTCATATCCATTTGCTTAACTTTGGAGATGACTATCCAGCATTATTTTTAAGCTTCTTGTTCGGGGCTTAACTTTTCATTCCCCCAAATCCAAGGCGTGATGTCTTGCACCGCTGCTTCTGTCGACCAGATTTAAGAGATAATGCCAATTGGTGGCATCCGGCGTGAGTCACAGCCTAGTACTCTGCCTCTTCAACTCTTCAGACAAACTGTCTTGAGGACTGGAGATGTATTGTATATGTTTATGGTTAAGGCCTGGGAATAAGAATTGGGTATAACCTCAAAACGTTCTGGGTCTAACTGGTAACATTTCCTCAAGTATCAAAAAGTATTGAAGTTATCAAATGACAAAATAGGACCTTGCCTTTGAAGATGACCCATATTTTATTCTGGCACCCCTATCCGTAAGAAACAGTGTCTGATAGTACATTTAAACACTTGCAAGTGACCCATACCAATGTTATTTATATGACCATTTTAATTTCTCTCACCCAAAATACTTGGTTATGAAAGTTTATAAGAATTGGACAAATATGCAGTGGGTCGCTTTGTATGCCCACCTAAAGGGGTTCCCAATGCAACTTGCTACCTGTGCCGTCATATAGTTTGCATGACCTCAAGAGGATGTAAGTAAAAGGTAATCAGAACTATTTGAGTTTCTTGAGTCTTGCATTGACTTTCTGATTTCAGAGTTTTGTTATTACTGTAAGTTAGCATTGACTGCTTGCTCAGATGCTTATGCATGTTACTTGTAGTTTTTGACCTGTGCTGTCGTTTAGGTTGCATGTCAGTTAAAGGTAATCAAAACTGACTCAAGACTGTGTGACTTTCTGAGTTTAGGGTTTTGTCATTACTGTAAGTTAGTTCTGAATGCTTGCTCAGATGTGTATGCTTGTTTACAAAAGTAAAACAATCCAAACCATAAAGACACTTAGACTACAAGTTCCACCCCTTTTGTTTCTGGAGCTTTAAACTGTATCATACAATCTTCCTAACCGTTCAATATTCAGCACATTTCTGCACAGCTCCACTTTGAAAACACATATTTTTAAGTTTATCCGATATTTATTTTCTATTGTAAATTGTTTTCATTTATGTATATTGACTTTTGTTAATTGCTATGCACCAGATCTGTAATGGCATCCAAGGTTTCCTTTTGCCACTATAGAGCGGGGTTGACGACACGCAATCCAAAGCAATAAGCAGTCGAAGGTTTTCAGTCAAAAAATGTAATTTATTAACAAAAAAGTATTGACTTAAATAGTCTCATAATAACAAATCTAAATCGATATTTCGGCGATATACTTTCCTATATAAACTATACTTTGCAGTCAAATTTGCAACACTAATCTCTGTTTACAATTTGCGGTCGATAAACTGTTCCGCTCCCGGTCTCATTAGGTCTAAGAGCACCGCGGCTGTCCTCAATTACCTCACTTAAATAAACACCAAGGAAACAGATCGTATTTATGATTTAAAATAAACAATCATTTCATCAAAAGATATTCACCATGGCAATATAAATCCTTTTCCATCATTAATTCATTTATCAAATTATGAAGCTAAATAATAACGTTGACTTCATTGTGGCTCTAACAAGATCCCTTAAACATCCAATTCATGTGAGCCTACGTTTTGATTCCAAAGCATTGATCAGTTTCTTTGTATTTTGTTAATTACATTTTTCTTTTCCTATTACCCTGTCTAAGGTCTATTGGTGCTAAAATCTTTATTAGATATTAAGGGTCACAGGATGTGCCTTTTTTTCCATTAAAAGCCGTCAGCACAGGCTGCTAACAGGCTGCTAGGAGATCTATCGTTATTACATGTTTGCAATCCAGGTGCAGCCAAGGAGAAAATAGAAAACGTTATTATCAGCCAGCCCTTAGGACACTTATGCACAACTCAATGAAACTTTGTGTGTGTAGGGGGAAGGGCGGTATTACTGTATGTGTGAGTGTGTGAGGTAAGAATATCAGGAATGCTATGCATGCACCAACACTCTCTCAGCATTGTGAAAACATCCTGCAAAACCCTGGGGCCTTTTCAGAACAACAATAGATAGCATTATGAAAGCTTTTGTCTTTGAAGCTCCTAAATATTTGAATATGCCGGTCACGCACAGACGATGCACAAAGTAGCCTCTTGCTTAGTCTCTTTTAATTCTAGTTGGGGAGAGCCTAACACATCCAGGTCTTGGCAGGCTTGCTCCTACTTCCTGTTTTTAATTGTTGGTTTGTAGCTTCATGCCTGTCACATTCAAACCTCCCTTGCACCACCATGAGTTGCTAATAACAGTGTTGAGTGAAGGCAGGCCACGCTCTCCCTGTAGGAGGTGCCACATTCACGGGGTAATTAAGTCACTTGTCATGGACGCATGGGTGAGCCTCTCTGTGTGTGGAGAGGAGGCACCACACCCAAACTCATTTCTCTCACCCCTGACTTCCCCCTCTGCTCACTGGAGTGTGATCCGCCTGCATGGTAAAGCCTGGCTGAGCAAAACAGGGATATTTTTTGCGAAATGTTGTGTTTCATGTTGTCTTTCTACATAGATTATTTTGAATGTCTATTCAGGTGGCAGCGCTGAAATCATTAATGTACAATTGAATATGTAATTGTTCCAGAGATAGACTTCATCGTGTCATGGATTATTAAGACTCCACATGCTGATTTGTTAATTAAATGTTGCTAGCTGTCACTCATGTCTTATAACGTACGCTTGCTTTAATTTGACACTCTCGTCATGCGGGACTTACTGACTGACATGATGAGAGATGATATGCACATTTACAGAATTGCTCCACCAACCCTTCACCCATATTTAGACAATGGTTGAACGCCTTTTAAATTCCTAGCATTCAGATATTAGTAAAAAAGACATTAGAGGGATAATTCTGCATCGGTTTCCCTGGCAACTGGTTGCTCCACGTCACAAAGTAAGCTCCAGGGGAAGAAGGTGTGTGTGTGTGTGTGTGTGTGTGTGTGTGTGTGTGTGTGTGTGTGTGTGTGTGTGTGTGTGTGTGTGTGTGTGTGTGTGTGTGTGTGTGTGTGTGTGTGTCATTATTTGTAAACCTTAACAGCCTTTACATTACCATACTTATATTCCTTGTTCTATAATTAACAGCGGCATATGGAGCCGGTGCATAGATTGACAATATTGAGTCAACATGTCATGTGACCCAGACAATTACAGTCAAAACCTGTTTAAGTATGAGCATTGTGTTGCAGGAAACCAGCTCACCAAGCAGTTAATGGCTTTTCATTAATTAAATTACAAAGCAATCAATACGAGGGAATTCAATTACTTTAAATCAGATAAGGGTTATTCGATTTTGTCGGTATCAGTATACCAGCTAACTAGGTTTTGTACCTATGACCTTCGTGTGTGTAGGGATGTGTGCTTACCAATGGGCTACTATGATGACAAATGTCCATAGTGTTTCATTCTATAACTACATTTGATGCATACCTCTATGAGCTTTACCAATGTGACAGTCACTGCTTACTGTACATACTTTGAAATATTGGGTGCGCCAATTGAGTCCAAACTGAATTATCTTATTGACTATTGAATGGTTTATGGATATTTGTTGACATTTCTCTTCAGCACCATGAGCAAAAATGTGTATTTGTGCATCCCGGACAAAGAAATAAACACACAAAGAAACTCCACCTTGAATACATGAACTTGTATCCTGACGGTGAATTGAAACATTCCTGAAATGCTCATCTCGAACTATTGTCAATAGCAGAGTAAATCTCTGCCTTCAGTACAAAGACCAATCCACCCAGGCAACTCCCCACACCCTTTCTACTGTGAAGTGTTTGAGGCACTCTGACTGTGACACAGCGCTAAATGGCTATAGTGCTTTATTGCTTTCAGAAAATGAGAACAGGAACGCAATCTTAAAGCACAGCTGTCTAATGCGGTCTGACATTGAGTTACACCAGCGAAAGAGAGTATTTCCCCTGCTTTCTTTTCCTTCTTGACCTTTTTGAACACTCTGTTTTGCATGTTGTCTTTGCAGAAACACTCCAAAGGACAGAGCCTGACGGACATGGTGTGTGAGCATCTCAACTTATTGGAGAAGGACTACTATGGTTTGACCTTTGCTGACACCGACACCCAGAAGGTCAGTGACTTGTGTACCTCATAACCCTCAGGGGGCATTTCGCCTCATACACACATCGCTCACAGGACAATCTGTATTCCTCTCACTTGTTGGCTGGGTCAAGCTCTCTCAGGGGTGCACTATCCAACAGAGATTGGGCTTGACAGAAGGCATTTGGAGAACATGACTCATACTCTTTGCAAGACAAGTCGTGAACTGTGTGAGAGATTCAGTTGTACAAATATTTCAGAAAGGAAGGGCTGCTCTGACATAATCAAGCGTCAATGTTTATCAGGAACATTTGAAGAATAGTTTGGTCAGAATGTTAACTGGCCACTTATTAGCTTACCCTAAGCCAGCGTTTCTCAAAGTGTGGAGTGGGGCGCAGAGATGTGATACAGTAGGTGGGTCGCGAATGGACGCGATGAACGGGAGTTTTTTTAAATTTATTTTTATTAATGTTTTGGACCTCAGGCCGGAATCGAACCTGGGTCCTCGCGGGGCCCCGGACCCCTCTAAGGGAGGTGAGGTCCACCCCCAAATAAAGCAGGTTAATATAATTAAATTGCATACATTTTCTTTTAGTAAACACTGAAAACGGGTCCCACAGACCCAAACAGCACACGAAGGTTAAAGGTAAGCATATAATAATGTTAAAATGTGCTAATTATATACACTGCAAAAAACAAAAAAAAAGGAATGAAAGTAGCTCACGACTTGTTTTATTTTTTGAAAGTAGCTCTCATCCTAAAAAAGGTTGGTGACCCCTGGCTTAGAATGTTCACATTGTTTGACATTCACATACTTCTCATTATATTTGGTCTATATCAAACCTGAGGTTCACTTGTTCAGGTGGGTGACACTGACACGTGACGTAATGCAATAAACCACAGCCTCCTGTCTTTACCAAGGAAATGTGTTTGAATGGCAAATGACTGACTCACTCTCCTAAGGTTGTTTAGTAATCCACCAGCAGAGGGCGCCCAACAGCTGCATTATTGAAGTGGGGAGCAGGCCTCCTTGGATCCATGAAATATCTTCATGACATGTTTGATTTGTTTTTGTGGTTTTTCTCAATTATGACAGCACATGCAACAACGTTGTCACCATTAAATGATATACAGTGTTCAACACTTGTTGACGTAATATCAATAATTATTTCAGTGAATGGAAAAGACGCCGATTTCTCGCTTTGGATTATGATCAGGACATTACAATAAGAGAGATAACATATTCCATGAAGAAGGTCACTCGTCTCGGGTAGAGACAGTTTACTATACATACCATTGGACCAACTTCAATAAATTCGACATATAATCACTCTGGACTATGTTACCATCCACCATCATATTTTTACATTAATATTATTTGTAGAAACAATGGGACAGGTGAATTTGGATTCCGGTAAGGTAACCATAGTGAGCCATAAAACACAGTGTCAAGCTAGAGAGAGTTTATCCGGCCGCGACGACGAGTTGTGAGGTTTCACCTTCAGAATAAAAGCTCTACTTTCATCCTTTATATGAGTAGACCGTACCTTTGCTATATTCGTTTTATTTTGAAACACAACTCCCGGAAATGACAATGTTATAATGCGGTTTTGACAACCCCTCCTCCAGAGAAGCTTCTTATCGTTGACTAAACAGAACTTCCTAGAAGTGGGACAAGTTTTCTTTTCAGGTCAGAAACTTTGCTCCCGGCGGTGTAATGTAAAGTGGAACCTTTGTCTTCCGACCTGCCGTGGTGACACCGCTAGTTTGGGCCTGTTCGGGTAACGTTGGGCTAGTTGTGAGGTAACGTTACACCAGACTTTAACATGCATATGCTAGCGCCTAACGGATCCATCATGGAGCTGGACTCGGAGTTTGTGAAAATTAAAGCTCACTACAGTGGGTAAGTAGCCTGTTAAAATGCTTGATACGGTGAGAGGGGAACACCTGTTTGTGTATGTGTCTGTGGGAGGGGGAGTACAGTGAGGTAGGTTCAGCCAGTGACTCTGCTCATGCACTGTCATTCACCTGTAGGCATAGTCAGAACAATTAGAATGAAAGTAATTGAGTCATATCGGAATTGTAGGACATTTAGAAGTCAAAGCTTTTGAATAATAAACCCTTTATTTTCAGAGGTGTCCAAACTTTTTTTCTCACTGAGGGCCACTCGAAAAACATACGAAGGGCTCCAGAGGGTTTCATTTATTCTGTTACAAAAAGTGTTGGCAGCTGATCCCTTATAACAGGAGCCTCAGATTGCTTATAATAAGGGGAATATGAAGGGTATATTTCAAGCTGGTTATATAAATAAGTGATTTGTTATTATTAAAATGTGTTAGAAAGTATTATCAACTTTAATTGACCGACACATTCATTATACCGTGTAATATCTGTTTACATATATATATATATATATATATATATATATTTAAGAAGTACAATATAAGAAAAGTTAAAGTTTCAGGTGTGGCCATTTCCCATTATACAGGACTGTCTCAGAAAATTAGAATATTGTGATAAAGTTCTTTATTTTCTGTAATGCAATTAAAAAAACAAAAAT